GATGAATGTTGTGGTGAATTCTTTGCTAATGTTATTATTCTGATGTTCAAAGACGGGATTTACAAAAAAGATTGTTAATAATGCAATAATAATGAAAATGTAAAAGCAGTTATTTGACTTACATCTGAAATGACTTAGAATAACACTGTCCAAAAGAACCCAGGAACTGCCTATCTGGGCAACAACTCAGAAGTAGGCCGGGACAGGCTGGAGAGGCTGTGGTCTCAAATTGATGAAAGCAGCAATTATGGAACCAGAAGTGGCAAGAGGTGAAGAAGCACCTTGTCATAGCTGATCAGTAAAATAAAAGGAAAAAACTAAAAACAAAAACTTTATTTAAAAACAAGGCAAATTTTTAAAAAACAAAATTCTAAATTAAAAAAATAAAATTCTATTAAAGAGACACAAGGTAAATCTCTATTCCATATTATTTTTAAAATGCTGATATTTTCTTTCTGTCAAGGCACCTCTGAGCAGACTCCCTTTCAGTTAACAGCCCATCTTCTTAACAGCTTGCCCTACTCAGAGACTCCAAAGATTAGGGAAAAGTTTTCAATTAGCAGTAATCGCACCTCGGATAAACCTTACTGGCTACGATATTGCCACTGGGCAAAGCTGAGATTCCAAAGATTAATGAAAGCGCTCATATTAATGAAAGCTCACTCAGAAGCACTTATACTAGAAATCTTGTTCAATATTTCCATAATCAATTCCTGGTTAGGAATCATCGTAAGTCAAATTACATTTACAATCTTCAGTTTAAGAAAGATACTGACTGATAAAAATGTATAGCTAACTGTGAGCCAGTTTTGAGGTACTTTTTCAATTGTATGACCTTGATACTTAAGGGTTTAGTCTTAATTTCAGAAACTTCATTATAATGGATATACCCTGTCCTTCCAAGAGAGCAGATGAGTGTGGTGTTCCTTTACTAAATATATTCAGTTCTAACTGGGTTGGCAGTAGAGCCTTTGAAAGTCTCCATTAAAAATCTTTATAACATCCATTGGTGCTATATAAACTTTCCAAAAAGCCCCCCAGAACAAACAAACAAACAAAAAATTCATTTTCACTGAACTGGAACCAACCCAGAGTTGACCCTCCAACGGGGCTTCTAAAGATATAAATGTCACTAAAAGAGATTGCCTATCTTTCTCCCTGAAGCTGCTGGTGCATTCAAACCACAGGTATGACCTTGGGGTAATCAGTGCAACTCTTTACAGACTACACCACCAGAATGTCTTCATATTACATGTCTCTGTTGCACAGTATATAAGTCTTTATATTATCAATTCAGTCAAAAGTAAGTATCTGCAATATGCAATATGCACTGTATTAGGTGGTAAAGACAAAGAAGAATAAGAATCCAAAGATCTCTTTCCAAAATACTTAAGATTTCTGAAAAGCCTTCCAAATAGTTAATGTGGAAACTGAAGGAAGAATATAGCAGTTGCCTCACCTCCCCAGAACTGATCACTTCCTGAGAAACCAGTAACATCTGAGGTGGCCAAATCAAAGACTAGACCAGACAATGAACCCACAATAAGGCTCTAGGGCTGATCACAAAGACTCAAACCCAACTAATTAACACCCTAAATTCCATCTTCCTCAGTCCTCAGCAAGACCCCTACAAGAAGGAACTCCCCCTAATTGCCCACATATCATTTTGACTTTCTCTACTCCTGCTCTCTTGATGTCCCTCTCAGACCATAAAATAAAGGCCAGTTTGTTGTTTAGGACCAGTTTCTTTCTCTCTCGCGCCTTTCTTTTTCTATCTAACAGAAAGGTGTATTTCTAATATTTTGAGTTGTTGTTGTTGTTGTCGTTTACCATCAAGTCATAACCGACCCGTGGGTGACCCTCCGGTGAGTTTGAAGAGCCAGTTAATTGTATAGGAGAAGATAGCTTATCCGCCTAAGGAGCAGCTGGTGGATTTGAACCAGGTGCTTTGGAGATTTCAGCGCAGTTTTTTACCACTGGGTCATCAGAGTGCCCTATATAACTGAGCTGTCCTGCTGTGTGTTGGGTACCATTGGGTCGGAACCAATCCACAGCTTACCATAGGTGGTTTTCTGAGGCAATTAATTGCATAGGAGGAAACTGCGGATTCGAACTACATGCCTTTGGGACTGCAGTGGAGCTTCCTGCCACTGGGCCACTAGAGTAGGGAGTGCATTTTGTAAAAGCTGAATTCCTTGAAACGTGATAATGTATGACACAGTTGGAGATACCACAATATCCTGAGCATTTAAGTGGTTGTACACCTGGGAAGGGAGTTTCTGGGTGGTACAAAAGATTACAGTAGTGTGAATTCACCCAGAGACTCCTGGAAAGACGGGCTTGGCGATCCACTATTGAGAAAGGTCATCACCTTGAAAACCCTACAGAGCAGTTGTCCTCTGCACACAGAGGTTTGTCATGAGGTAGAACTGACTTGACAGCAACTAACAATAACAATTCACTGGGGGTTCCCTACCCTAGGGGAAAGACACTAGTTGATGTCAAGTCATTTTTCATTCATGGTGACCCCATATAGGCACAAAAGAACTGTTCCATGGGATTTTCAGTGCTAGTTATTCTGACACTCTTGGTACCAGCAGCCATAAAATTAAAAGATGAATTGCATTGGGAAAGTCTGCTGTCAGAGATCTCTCCAAAGTACCGAAGAGCAACAATAACAGTCTGAAGACTAAGGTGAGCCTGGTACAGGCCATAGTCTTCGCAATTATTTGCTGTGCATCAGAAAGCTGGACAAGGATTAGACATGATAGAAGGAGAATTGATGTCTTTGAGCTGTGATGTTGGAGAAGAGTACTGACTATACCATGGACTGCCAGGAGAACAAACAGGTTCATCCTAGAGAGGGTGAAATCAGGCTGTTCCTTGGAGGCAAGGATTCTGAAGCTTTGTCTGACCTACTTTGGACATGTTGCAAGGTGGGACCAGTCTTTAGAGATGGATGTCATGCTTGTAAAAGTAGAGGGATAGTGCAAGAGACGAAGCCCCTCGATGAGATGGATTGATTCAGTGACTATGGTAATGGGGTTAGGTGTGTCAGAGAGAATAAGATTGGCACAGCATAGAGCAGAGTATAGGGCTATTGAACATAGAGTTGTTATGAGTCACAAGCGACTCAATGGCACATAACAACAGTTATTTTGAAGATCATCACTCCTTTCCTCAGCCAAAAGGAAAGCGCCATAAAGCCATCAAAAACCCTCACTGTTCATTCCATCAGAATAAGAAGTATCCCGCACTCAACTCAAACTCACGGTCATGGCGTCAGTTTTGAGTCATAGTAACCCTTCACTGGACTTCTGAGTCTGTGGATAGCAACCAGGGAGACTAGCCATCTTTCTCTGGTGGATTTGAACTTCTGGGTTAGCGGTACAACTCGCCGTGGACAATGCCTCTTTACCAATCACTCACAAATGAGAGAGATAGGGTATAAATAGAAATCATATCCTTATCATCCTTTGCCTAAAGCAGACTCATTAAATTGTTAGTAGATTCAGTCAGACAAATAAATTTGGACTTCCTCACTACCTACCTTCACTGGGATGCAAAGGACCAATAGAATGGGGCATCTTGAATTTGTCCCAGCTGTAGCCTACTGTCACCTTTCAGGGCTAACCTTCCTCTAGCAGAAGCAGAAAGGATAAAGCACCCATCATCAGGGACCTTTCTCTTCCTGAAGCCTCTTGGAATCCCTCTTCATGAGTGCCAACTAGAGGCAGATCAAGGTATCTCAGTCATGGCAGCCCGCCCCCCACCGCCCTTCCTTAGCACTGGTCCCAGTGCTCAGTTAGACTCTCTATCTAGGTGTGTCTGAGAGATCGAGGGAGAACTGAAACCCAGGGAAAGAAAGAGCCCTCTCCAAAGGTGAAAGCTTCCTCCAGGGTGCGTGTGTGTGTGTGTGTGTGGGGGGGGTGTCTGTGTGTGTGTAGGGGGTTCTGGTGGCCTCATGGGTGTGCAGTTGTGCTGTCAACTCAGTGGCAGACAGCTGGAACCCATCAGTTGCTCTAAAGAAGAAAAACGGACACTCTCCACCCATGCTCTTTATAGACTCTGAAAACCTACTGGAGACTCGGCTGTGTTGGTTTCAACTCAAGATCCCATTACAACAAGGACAAGTTATGTATGTAGTAGCCCTGGTGGCCTAGCACAAAAGGAGTTATGTGACCCACCCAGAAGCAGAAGCAGAATCCATCGGCTGCCCTGAGGGATAATCTCCTTTCCTGTGATTCAAAGCTTCTGATTGATACCTCTGTGGAAGGTCACCTGTGAGTTGGCTCTGACTGGGAAGCAATGAATGGGAGGTTTTTTGGGTTGTGTATGTGGGAGGAGGGGGTATAGGGAACAGTAAGAGGATAAAAGGATTTTCTTGACTCTTGATGAGTAGGGACTTCTGGTGGCCTAGAGGTAAAGAATTAACACTGTCAACACAACGGTGAGAATCTGCCAGCTGCTCCATCAATGAAAAGCAATCAGTTTCTGTGCAATTTACTGCCTCTGAAAGCCTGCTCAAGGATCAGCTCTAAGTTGTTCCCCAAAGGAACACAACAAGAACAAAGATAATTCCAACTTGAGAAGGTTAGCTGCTTTTCACCTTGGGAAATTTGCATGAGAATTGTAGCTTCCCTCCACCCTCCCAAAGGTGACTTTTCTGACTTCTTATTCAGCAAGGTATAACTAAGCAGAGGAAAGAGAAAAAGAAGGAAGGAGAAGCTAAAAGCCTGGAGGAGAAATGAAAGAAATCAGAGAAAGAGGGGAAGGAGGGAAGAAAGACAGAGAGAGAGAGAGAGAGTGTTGGAGAGAGAAAACAGAGGAAGTAAAGAAGGAGGGAGCAGAGACAAGATAAAAGCAGAAACAATGTAGATTTTGATCTTTCAAAAACATTACAGAAGGAGGCGGTGCCATCCCATAAAAATCCAAACCAGGTTCTGGCAGGCCCTGCCTCCCATTTGCCCTAAAATCTGCCATCCCACCCCCCAACTTACCTTCACTGAAGACAAAATCTGAGATGATGTCAAAGGGCTGGATGTGGACTGCCGACAGGATCATGGTGACCGTCTTCTGTGGGTCACTGGAGACCAGCGAAATGGTCTGCTGGGCTTGACACTCGTAGGACCGGCCCGCTGGAGTGACCAAAGCCGAAAGGCGATGCGAATTGGCCGTGTGTTTTCCGGCTGCAGCAAAGGACAAAACCACCACTAGGCTCCGGATCCTGCAGAAGCCCAGCTGCTCCTCACTCCCTGTGCCCACACCAGTCAGGTGCCCGAGTCCTCTGTGCTGCCTCCCTGGGCCTGGGAAATCTGTAAATGTTCCTCACTCTCAGTGTCAGCCTGGTTCCCCAGTCTTCAGTGCTGTTTTCTGGGCCTAGGGAATCTGCAAACTCAGAGTGAGGGCGGAGGAAAATGCCCTCCTGGGAATATGAGATTTAGATTGCTTTGTGGAGGTAAGTAGTACCTAAGTACCCATCCTATTTTGCAATATAAAACCTGACAAAGGAGACCTCAAAAACACAATGAAAAACAATGACCATTTTCCCCATTTCTTGGGGAATAAACTGTTTTCTGACAGTGCAGCAGAGTTGCAGGCGGGCACTGTAGACTCCTGCACATACAACCTTTCTGGACAGCATCCTTATTATGAGATAGAATTAATGCGACCTCATACAATAACGGCAACAGCCCCATTTGAGCCTAAGTGTAGCTTCTTTCACCTTCAAATTTAAATAGGGACATTCTTGAATCAAAATGTTTACAAAAAGTGAAATGCTTTGTTCTGTGATGAGAAGAAAAAGAGGTGAACAAGGGAGAGAAGTGAATTCTTTTTAAAGTGCTCAATAAAATAAAGGTGATGTTTGCACAATATTGCGATCAATAACACTTGGAAATGGTTAAAAAGGCAAATTGTGCTTGTGAATTTTTCATTACATTTTTTAAAGTGTTCAATTAATCTCTCCACTCAGTATTGAGGTAGCTAAGGACCCCATTATGGGTGAGTTAGATGTTTTCAAAAGAAAAACAATTGAAAGGTGGTCTTGGGTGGGCCTGCACATAACCAATAAGTGTCGTTATTGTTACAGTTCTTGTCTCTGTGTTTCTGGAGGATGGAAGTGGGCTGTTGAAATGATAGGCAGGAACGTGTAATAAAGTCAGACAGCGGGCAGAACCTTTTGGGATGGCTGCAGTGTGTGGTTGACGCGGAGTCTGAAACATGCCATGCACCAAAACGCATAAAGGTCATTGAATTACATGGCGGTCGGCAGGAGAATTTGCACACCCCTTGTAGTTTTAGCGCATGGAAAGAAAACATGTGACACTGCGGCCTAACTACAAAAGCCGCTCTGCGCTTCATGGCCTGGAAATGGCGCTCACTTCTTGAAGCAAGGCAAGCCACGGAGGGCAGACTGATGCTCCCGCCCTTGAACCCAAGCGCACACATTCAAGGTCCGAGCCCTAGCGGACATCCTGGCCCATTTGTCTGTTTCCTTGGAACGCAAATCAAGGCCAGACGTGGCCTGGGGATGCACAGTTGGGAATGATTTTCAAAACCCCACCCAGCAGGAATTTAGTCTCCACACCGCTTCTCTTGGCTCTGTTTGTGTTCTGCTAGGCTCCTTCCACAGCCCTGCCCGCCTCTACTCACGGCTGACTGCGTCTTTAAAATGGGTCTTCTCAGAAGAGTCGTAGATGAACTGCACCTTGCTCAGCCTCCAAGTCGCCTCTGGGCCCTTAGACGTATTATGACTTTCCTAGCAAGCAGAGGGAGCAGGGGAGGGGGGCCTCCTCAGTGCAGACACCCTGTGCTCCCCCCTGCCCACGCCCACCGGGGTTCTGTTCCCCCTCAGCGCGCGGAGTTACCTTTACAAAGAGCATTTTGAGTGTGTACGCGCGATCCACCCAGAACACCTGCAGCTCTGACTCGTTGTGGCCACAGCGGCCCTTCACTTCAGCCCCCCGGGTCAACGCGATGTCAGCCTGTTCCGTGATCAGCTGGGAACACAGACGCCCCGCACCCCCTCAGCGCGCCAGGCCCCCAGAAGCTGGAAAGGGGGGCGCGTCCAAACTCCAGGCTGCACGCTTGGGTGCTCCTTGGCGCGCGCGCTCTGGCGCGGCGCTGTCAGGTCCGGGAACATGCGGTTAGGTGCTCTACGTGCAGACGGGGGCGTTAGGGAAGCAGAGAGAGGGGGTTACTTCCAAAGCAGGCAGGGCGAGCAAAAGGCGTTAACAAGCCGGAAACCCCATGCAGCATTCGGGACCAGCCTGCAGGGGCGTGGGAAGAGGAAAAGGTGGGTGACACAGTTTCCAAGGGGCGTTGAAGGAGAATCCCCTTGGCCCTGGTGCCCTAGGAGCAAGCTGGAGGGGGAAAGGTTCCTTACATCGACATAATTGCTGGCCCACACATCATAAGGCACAAGAAATTTGGCTGCAAACTCTGCCATGAGACACGTCGTCCCATTTTCGCGCACCACAAATATATCTTTTTCAGGGTTAGTGGAAAGGCCTGAGAGATTTTCCACTTCTTGTTCTGCCATGATTCGAGCTACTGTATCTGCGGGAGAAATAAACAAACAGATTCCATGGGCAAGCCCACGCGTCTGAGAAGCGAGGGTGATGAGACTGCGCGCTGCGGGCACTGGGGTTACAAAGTTCCCGCCGGTGGCTGTGCGCTCTGCCAGACCTTTCTCTAGCCTGGACCAATAAACTCGACTCAGCTGCTGCTCCTTTAAAATTAAAGATTTAAAAAAAAAAATGCAGAAAGTCTTGCTGATTAGTCTTTTTCTACGTCTTGGATGTTTACACCACATTTTGCTTGCCAGTACTTGGAACCCATCGCCTGGCGCCCTGCGTGCGTGGGATATGCTGCACAGGTGTGTGATTCAGGGGAACTCCCTGGCCCTGAAAAGGAAGCGATCCTCCCCCGCACCGCCCTCCGGCCCCCCAGTCAATACATCAGAGCGCATTTTGATCCTAAAGTGTCCTCTTTAACAGGCATCCTCTATTCTCTGCAAAGAGGGTACCCCGCCCTTTCGGTTGCAGAAACACTACTCACGGAACAGCATCAGGAGAACACGAAGTCTGTCTGCGCTGGAAACAGTCCCTGTTTGGAGATCCATGCTTGCTGTGCAGCGAGTAAGGCCAGATGTGCTGCTGCGAAGGCCGTCCGAGAGGGAATCCCTCAAAGTCGCCGCAGACACCGGCCGGTGAGAGGGGGTGGCGCGAGGAGGAGGAGGAGGGAGGGAGGGAGCGCGCGTGCTGTGCGCGCTGGAGACGCTGGCGCGCGGTGCTGCACCGCCAGATGCAGGCTGAGCTATCGGTTCTCTGCAGAAGGCTGTGTGCGCCGTGCCGGGAGCTGTCCACCGCTCCCGGTGCTGAAAGAGATCCGGCTGTGTTTCTGGAGTGATTTGGCTTGGGTCAAGGAAGGACCAATGAGATTTTTAAAGGACTACAATTCTCCCTGGGTCTGTTTCCCGTTCTGCAGTTGCATCCGCAAAGATGAGTCGGCTCTGAGAAACTTAATAACACTCCCAGACTTACTCGGTGCCCCTACAAAGCATACAGTTATGTGGTATAGACCTCGTATTGCTAGAGTTCTGTCTTCTGGAAACACATCTGATTCCAGAAAGAAGGCGGCGGAGCACACATTGTTGCTGCTTTGGAGGAAGGAGGGGTAGGCAGGCACAGGGAGGGAAGATGCTATGGCAACAGTTTCCTCTGCATTGGGAGACAGCGTCTCTTCTCTTCCCACCTCTCCCTGAGCTGACGGGTTTAAAGTTAAGTGGACGCCTCCTCAGATGGAGCCCTCAGACTGCGGTATACCCAGTTGAGCTTATTTTCTTTGTGGGTTCTGCTCTGATTGTATGAGTACTCCAAATCCTGGGGTCACACACCTTTACTCATTATTCTGTAACCTCTCTGTCAAGAGGCATGTAAGTGAACCTACAGTTTGTAGAGGTTATTTAGAGACAGGAGTTTTTAAATTATGGACTAAATAATGCTATATAGTTATGTAAAAATGCATATTTACATTAAACTCTGTAGTGGAAAAAATAAAATACTTTGAAATTAATATCTAGGTTTACATTTCCTTATTTTTATTTTTACTTGACACGACACAGTTTTTTAAATACACATAGACATGCTGTTTGTTGAATAGAATGTAGGGATGTCTAAATTTTTATTTAAAAAAATTATTACTAGAAAAATAAATAATTGTGATATCAGTAATAAGATGTCAGCAAACAAAGAATTTTTCAGGTTAAGGGGCAGGTTGCCAAGCATTTTCATATACTTGTATAATGTGATATGGCCCATAACCTTGGATGACAGGAAGGAATATATACACTATGCAGGTTGTGCATTCTCCATATGCAAGGTTAAAAAGTGGTGGAATGACCTTCCGAAATGTTATATAATTAGTGTGATTTAGAATAGGAAAAGTCATGTGCTTTAACTTCATTGAGATCATCGTTTCTTCCTTCTATAATACTTAATTAACTCTGAAACATACCATTTTTTAACATTTCTAAAAATACTTATTCAATGACCCAACAAGAAACTGAAACCTACAACTCTATCACTAATCAACATGCTTGAATGTATGAAATGTTGTTTTAAGTATAATCATGTTCTGACAAAATGATTGCTATCAAATTTCTATATCATTTTTGCTTTCAAACCTCTTCCTGTCTATATCAATAACTTGAACAATACTAATCAAATTATGATGTAATGTTTAAATGGATATTATGTTTTTACAATTACACCTTTTGTTTCCACATATTACATTCAATTATTCTATGATTACTACAATGCCAATTATCATCATATATGAACATATAAGTCATAAGATTATATGCTTTATGTTTTGTAATGTTAGCAGGCATTAAGCCTTTATTTTTCTATGAGTAGCATAAAAATAGAAAACAATGAAAAATATCTAATGAATCATTCTTCTCTCTCTGTCTTTCCAGTACCTCAATTAGAAAAAAAATGACTATGTTTTAGACCAGGATTCGTTATTACTTTTGTAACCCTGTGCAGGGTTTAACTTCCTTTCTTGAAAAGTTGAGATGGTAGTTCACAAAATAGTTGGTTAGATATAGTGAACGGATGAATAGGAACATTAAAATATCAATATAAATTAATTTCTTCCATGAATATTAACAAAAAATCTAAATAACTGAGTACTTCTACTTTATTTGGTGCTTTGAAAACCAAAAAATATTATCAATATCATTATACAGGTAGGAATATGTACCTGTAAAAGATTATGTACAATTTCTTTTATGATATGCTATTGTAAATATTTCTACCTTAAAAGTTGTTAAAAGATCAATGTATTATTCACAGCTATCTGTCTCAGTGATAAAAGATTGCACAGGAAATGGAACTGGTCATTAGTTTATGATCTTATTAACGTAGTAAGTTGATTTCTAAATCAGATGATGGTTTCCTTGAAAATGATTTTGTTCCTTACTCAATATAAATTATCATGACCTTTTTGTTGAAACCAGAGAGGACTTGGTTATTTGAAAAGCAACAAGAAGTTTTCTTAACCCTTTCTTAACACATAATTTCTGTAAAGCCCTTTTTTGTCTTTAACTTGACATATGAAAACTAATTAATATATGAATTTTATCCTTCATGATTTTGATATTGTAATAAAAGTTGGCTCATTACAAAGACATCTTTCATCTATATTCATTAAACCATTCAGTAAGCTTTTTCATGACCTTAAAAAAACAGCCAAAAAATGTGCACACAACTTACCATTAAATCACATCCTGAGGTATTATTAAAGTGCTCTAGATTGTGTTCCAGTCTACATTTCTTGTGGGGAGGAAAGGGTGGTGAAGCTGGTATCCACATGTACTTTTTTTTGGTGGGTGATAATCATGTAGATTTCCTTGCTTGCTATCTGTGGTCCATCCAAAATGTCAGCTGTAGGTGTTCCCTAAGTGGATTAGCCTTGGCATCCTCTCAAGATAATTTATGCACCATTTTATTGAATTAGCCCTTTTTAGTCTTATGCCAATGGGTAATTGGAATTTTAAAAATTAGGGGTGGAAAGGCCCCTATAGATATGGAGCTTGCAGTTCTCAGGGGAGAAAATAACTTCAATGAAGTTGTGGGTTGCCTTGCACAGTGAGACCACAGATGCTCAGGGATATAAAGGCAGACAATTATTCCAGGAGAATGGAATTGCCAAAGAAGAGCTGTTGAAGAAGGTGGGTCTTAGAAGACAAACGATCGGAGGTCAAAGGATAGAAATGTCAATGCAGATGGCAAAAGCACCTACTGGACAGTAGAGGGAGTGTCAATGCAGAGATGTAATACCCCCTAATGCTAATCAATTTACCACAAAGAAGAAATTAGTTTAAAAAAAAATCAGTGTTGTAGGTAATTTATCATCTCTATCTCATTCTTTTAACAATTACCATCTTCCATAGGACATGTGCAAAAACTGATCTAACTCAAACTGTTCATGGTTTTGTAGGCTTTCAATTGTTGTTGTTGTTGTTGATTGCCTTCCAGGCCAGCACGACTCATAGTGACCTTGTTTTTTTACAAGCAAATGAGTTGATTTATAGACTAAAGAAATAATACATTGAAAATCAATAAAGAACAGTAATTAGAAAAGGGTATTATCTTTAAAGGAAAAGGCTGGCCTTCATCTCAATCCTCCTTACAAAGCAATTCTTCATCTCCTTTCTCCCCTTTCTCCTTACAATGAGATGTAAAAATGGGTTATTGTTTGCTTTCCTCACCAGTATCCATGACACAAGCATACCTTCCATGCTTACACATACCCAGAGGATGGAAGGACCCTGAGCACAGAAGCAGGGGCAATTTAACACAATTGAACCTGATGCACACAATTACTAAGGTCAGAATTGCTATTTGTGTTGTGTTTTGTGGTGTATCACCACGTAATTGATTCTGAATCCCATTGCCTTCGTTGTAATGTCTTGGAGAGAAAACTTCTTGAAGAGTTTCATAAATGGAATAATTTCACTTGCAACCTTTTCCAAAACAGAAACCCTTTGGAATACAAATGGCAAAATGTAGTTGTATCAAGAATATTTTGTGCGTACATTGCCCAATCCCAGACTATTTGGAAAGGATTAGGAAATGAGATGGAAGACACTAGGATGTTTGGAAAGAATCAGAACATTGAGTTAGGAAACTGGACCTGCCCGACCCTGATGTGCTTTTCCTTACCCTTTAATATCACTAATTTTTCCAGCATTTAATTCAATGAAATAAAAGCTGCTTCTTTGATGAGAATAACCCATGATGGAAACAAGGCACCAGAATAATTCATAGCCCTTTCATTGAGGATGTTCAAGCAAACTCCTTGAAAATTTGTTCTTTTATGTGCTCATATCAAACCAGCCCATACGCCCACAGGAAAAAGTCCTTACAGGAAATTCTGGATAAAGGACCGTGAGAGGCTCAGAAAAAAAAATATTTCAGGAGCAAAGAAATTATTTTCAGCCTTTAAACTAGTAGTTTAAAATCTTTTAAATTACTTAGCCATTCTAATCGGTTTTAAGTAAATTACATCAGCATTCATTTGTCACTGTTTATACCTTTTTCAGGCTATGGGGTATAATATTTTGTGCAGTGTTGTTTTGTTTGCTTGTGGTTTGTTTTTTTTTTTAACCAGAGAAGCCTCCCTATTCAGGGAAGGGGCAAGAGACCACCTTTCTGTAACAATCACTTGAGAATATTCTTAAAATTCTTTAAGAAATGTTTTCTCCCCAAGAAATTGTAACAAAGGCAATGGGCCTAAGAGTAGCTCATTTAAAATAGTTTGTAACTTGAATTCTGGCTTGAAGTAATTTCTTAAAATCTGTTCTTGACATGTCAAAGAAACCTCTTGTTCTCAGTTAACTTTCTGGGTCTTTTTGAAACTATCTGACTATGTGAAGATGTGTTGGGGTCTAAGGTCTATTGGTGACCTTTAGGCAAAAGGGTGGTGCAGGCAGCCTGTGAGGCTTTGTTGGTGGCCTGGTGGGCCTGGAGCAATCTGATTAGTAACTGGGGACATTTCTATTAATAAAAGGCACTGGGCCAATGTGATGAAAACGTAGTTGTTGACTGAAAGGCC